TTGGAAGAGCCGAGGACTATGACAGATGACAGCTGTTGACAGATGCAGCCTTCTTGTTACTAGTGTTTGCACTTTATGACCTCTAACAGTTTGAGATCTGTGAAAGTGTACTTTCATCTTTTGGATACCTCTTTACAACTATTTTGTTTATCTTTCTAATCAGGCTTCTACCACCCTCAATTTTCCAGGATTTCTTATGCTTTTTATTTAGCATTTTACTTATTATCAATTTTAATATTCCTCATTGGATATAGACACTACAAATTTATTAAACTATATTATCATCTATATAAAAAATTTGTATGTAGTATCCTTCATTGTAAAAATTCTTGACTTTGATGTAATTAAATCCATTTTGTTTGAACATTTATGCTATAGATTTTAATTTAAAAACTTATTTCTCATGCCAAGATCACAAAAAAAACATCACTTAGGTTCCCCCCCCATTTATATTTTGCTTTTTAGTTTTCTTGTTAAGTTTTATTCCAGAGCTCCCTCTTACATTGTATTTGCAAAGGGTTCATATCTTCTTTTCAAGTGATAACCCACTTTCCCCCAATATTTATTTTACAGTATCATTGGGTTTTTAAGATTATTTCTGAACTGTTGTTTTAGAGAAACATAATGAATATGAGATAATTACTTCCTACATAACAATTTGACTAAATTTTCTAATTAAGTCATTGGGAATTTCAATAAGACAATTTTATTATTATCTTTAATAATGATAGAACATCTTGAAATCTAATGCACATGCTTTTTTCTCTTTTCTTGCCAAATTTTATGAGCTGGAACTTCTGTCTGATTTTAAACAAATCAAACCTGTCCCCCACAAAACAAGATAAGCCAGCACCTCCCAGATTTTTAAAGAAACATTTTAAATATTTATCATAGAGTTTATATTAAGTGTTTCGTTTGTAGCACGCACCCTTTGCTAGGAATGTTCTCATCTTTACTGCTTTGCTAATAATTTTTCTTGGGGTTTTAATTCTGATGTTTTCTTCACATCCTTGTGAAACACACACATAGTTCTCCCTCCACAGTCTGGGAGTACATGGTCACACACAGTTCTCCTCCATAGTCTGGGAATGCAGGGTCACACACACAGCTCTCCCCCACAGTCTGGGAGTGCATGGTCACATACAGCTCTCTCCTACAGTCTGGGAGTGCATGGTCACACACACAGCTCTCCCCCACAGTCTGGGAGTACATGGTCACACACACAGCTCTCCCCCACAGTGTGGGAGTGCAGGATCACACACACAGCTCTCCCCCACAGTCTGGGAGTGCATGGTCACACACACAGCTCTCCTCCACAGTCTGGGAGTGCATGGTCACACACAGCTCTC